AAGTAAACTGGACCTACAAGAAAGCGGTCCTGGTTTTTCTGTTTCAATCATGGCATTCTGACGTTCTACGCAGTTGCTCGACGCTCTAACACCGTAACTGCGTAAAAGCGTAACTGCCGTAGTGACCAGAGTCGTTCGAGAATCAGTCTCATCAACGACCGGAATCTCACCAGACGGTAGTCGTTCCCTTTCCAGAGAGATGTGGGTTCTTGCAATTGCCTATTGTTGGAAATAAAAAGCCGTGTCTGCAGAACGAATTGTAAGCGAAGTATCTAAGAAAAATTTGGACACATTTTCATTGTTACAAGCCAGGTTTCAGGCATATGAGCCTTTTGAATACACTTATATTTTGTTCTCCAAGAGAAATCTGCTTTAATACACATAGTAACAGTTTCAATGAAACCTTAAAAAGACCAGAGGCTGACGGAATGCTATGGAAATATTATCATCAGCTTTTCGACGAACTGACCGTGCAAGGTTACAGTCCACCGAAGTGCTGAGGTGCCTTTGTTTTCTGCCTGAATCTTTAAATGTTGCGCAGAAGTCGCTGAAACACTTTTTTCCAAATCTGAAATTTGGGCGCTAATTCTTCTTTATATGGGCTAAGGAACTAAATCTTTTATTTCTTCCTGAATTTATTACGAAAAACGTTAGTTTTCTTCGCTTCGTCCTTATGAGATCTAATACTCCTCTTATATTCCATTTAAACACTGCTGAAAAACCGTCAATTAGCTTATGTAAAAAATCGTACCTTGTTTAGTCCGCGGTTTTCTCTCCGTTAGGTTTAAGATTTGCTGTGCAAAGTGCGGTAGCTTACTACGGGAGACTTGCGGTCGATTACTCTTTTCTAAGAACCCCTTTTTACGTTGCGTTACGGGATTTTTGACTCGTAATCAGAAAAGAGACAGGAGGATAGGGAAAAATCACAACTTTTCATTTCACAATAAACAAACTATAGTGCGTTTACTTAGGAACAACAATCTACAAACACATCGTTTAAGACATAATTCCACAAAGTATTTAAGCAGATGTTTATACTTGTGGGCACCTTAGTTACCAGAAAATTCCATTTGAAAGAAAGACGCTCATGCATAAACTTTCGTGAATGTACCTACTAAATTATACGAATGCAGATGAACATAGTGAATTGGTTACGACCTCTAGCGCATTTTTCTTTGGTTATCGCCTATTCTCAAATCGATACTAACAGGGTGTGAACACTATATTGGAAGTCCGAACATATCATTTCTTAATTTGACTATGAATTCGTTAAGCAGCATACCGAAAGGTGAAAAATACTGACAGGGCTGAAGAAAACGTCCACAAAAACATTTACGGTTAGAAAATTTCCACCAAGAAGGAGTCAATGCACGTTGTTATTTTAAGCAATGTGAGAGATTTAGAAGAGAGCAAGTACCACTTATTGGAGTTTTCGGAAGTTCCTGCACTGTCAATCTTCTTGGGTTCTTGGTGCGAAATAATGGCGACAGGGGATACAAATCCACTAATGATACTTAAAGTTCCTTCTTGAGGTTACGTTTTGTATTACAAAAGTGGTAGTAATAGGTAAAAAAGTTCTCACCAGTTCCACTTGACGTTGCCAGTTGATATTAAAACAGACAGCTGTGTAGGCGACCGCCTCCACAAAACTACCCATTGCCAGAGCCCACCAGAGACCTGAAATCCGTAATAGTTGAAACGCTAAGGCAAATATCAACTCAGATTCACAATATGAAGGAAGAAACGATTAAATTTAACGAACTCTACAAACACGTGTATGTGGGGTATATAACCCTACTGGGTGTTTGTTCAAAAATCCAGCTTCTTCCTGATTTGGATACAGTAGGTGTGCTAACTCATGAAATGTTAACCGCAATTCTTAAATGCGTTTTCATTTCGAAAAGATCACTTAAGTAGGGCTTTAAAATTAAACGCCTTGCAGCATAAGTAGATAATGATTTAGTTACCTCGGGATGCCGGCTCACGAACGTGCTTCTTTCTGGCCGCATGCAATAACCCCACTCTGCAGGAAATGACTACTTATATAGCATAATTTTATCTCATTGAATTTCGATTATTTTAAAAATGTAATTACGTTTTGTGCAAAACATGCATGAAAATATTCATTCTTTTACATATTTGGCAGAAAATGACGTCTTCGTCCAATTTTATACTCCAAGAAAAGGTATAATTGGGTTTTCAAAAACGCTTCCAATTCCTGAAAAATTTTAGATCCGGCCTGCCGTTAAGATTGCAATCAGCGTCTCCAAACTACAAGCCGCATATTTTTCACGCACGAAAAACCATACATTTACCTGCGATATTAAAAGGAGATTATATGGGTTTTATAAAATTTAGCAGTGGATTTGAGCTATATTGCAAGCATAAAAGACACATTGGTAAATGCAGAGACAAGATGTTTTATGAATGGCCATTTCACTTTATTAAAAAATCTCATAATTATAAAATTTTGGGAGACCAAATTATACCCTTCCCTCGAGTATAAAATTTAAAGAAGACGTAATTTTCTACCAAAGGAGTAAACAAATGAATACTTTTATGCATGTTTTGCATAAAATATGATTGCCCTTTTAAAATAATCGAAAGCCAATGTAAGAAATTCATGCTATTTAACCAGTCATTTCTACAGAGTGAGGTTTTTGCATACGGCCGAAAAGAAGCTTGTTCGAAAGCCAGCGTCTCGAAATAGCTGATTCATTGTATAATTATGATACAAGGTGATCAGTTTTGCAACCCTACTTAAGTAATCCTTTGGGAGCGGAAAGGCATTTAAGAATTTCGGTTAACATTTCATGGGTTAGCACACTTACTGTAAACGTGATCCATAAAGGTTTGCCTAACAAAAGGTCGCTAAAGGAGCTATGTGACACACGCATTTAGACCTTTCATTGTTTATTGCCGTCAACGTTGCCTGTGTCGAGCTCAAAGTTAGGTTTGGTACTACGGTAGGGGTTATGGTTATTGTTAGAAGTCGGATTATTCTTAGGTCTAGGGTTGCTGCGCTTCGGTTGTGGTTTGGATTTTGGGTTCAGGGATAGGATTGGCATCGTTGGTTTTGAGTTGAGGTCGTACGGTAGGAGTTGAGATCAGGGTCAAGGCTAGGGTTTTAGGGCTTGGATTACAATTATTGTCGTGTTCTAGCTTCCCCGAAAGGCTTTAAGGTTAACAGTTAGGGTAACCCATCACAGACATGGTCATCGTTGACGTTAGTGTTGTAGTTAATAACAGTTTCCTAGATGGATAACATACCACACCCCTGCCGACAAACGGATATAATTTTTCAAGACTGCCCAAATTATTAAAAGAGGAAGAAGAAGATGAACCACAGGAACAAAAAGTATATTCTCCCAATCCGATTAAATAGACTAAAGCCATCGGTGGGTATGGCAATACTGTACTCAACACTAACTAGTAGCGCGTATGGTCGTCTGTCTGTGCCTTGTCCACGTATCGGTTGGATGCGGTGGCCTACAGTTGTGGGGAGGAAACGTTACTTATCTAGTAAGGGCAATTGTCCTAGGCCTTAATACTGGCGCCCTTTTTGCCTCGCCGCCAGCGTTTACATTAACTCCCTCGTCCCTATGCGTCTTCTTCCCCATGTTCGGTATCTAGTTCATCATTATGCTCATCCAAGTGCTTGACATCCATTACCTCGGCGCCTGGTGAGTCATGGCTTCCCCTACCACTCCAGCGCGACCTTCCTTCACCCGCATACTCGCACCTCCCCTTCCGTCTCCTTCTTCCTCTTAATCTGCTAATGTGCAACGGAGGGGCCTCCAACCGTGCCCACACCAGCGCATTCTTCAAAAGAATTTTACATTTCCGTCTTTTTCTTTTTATCTCAAATGCTGATAAAACCACCTCCCCTCGGCCGCACCTTGTTATCAGAGGACACGTTATCCTTTGTTGGATGTGGCTTTGATCATCTTAAAACATACGCACACCACCGGCAGTTCGACCGTCGTTTCTGACTCGGCATGGCGGCGCATGGACGGTGACTTACCATGGCGTGTTCGTGGGCTCCTAGCAGTTTCTCTGATTTGCCTTGCTTGACTGTAACTACATCGGACTCAAGAAACAATATATGAGGTATCGCCTCCTTCGGAGTCATGATACCTCCAGATTGTTGCTTAAGGCCCCTTTGCAACGTCAATCTCCAGAAGTCGAAGACGGCGTCTGACTGCTTCGGATACCTGCCGGTTTTTTGCTACTTTGCCTCTCTTTCTGACACAGAATGCTTCCAATATCTTGCAAGGAGCTCGCACACAGCTGTGTTGCTCCGATGAGATTTAACTTGTGTATTAACTCAGGATGTAGTTTATGTTAGTGTTCTTCCTGCATACCGTACTCATCGGTGTCCCCTCATCCTTCCGACTGATGAGGACGTCCAGGAACGGCAGCTACTTGTTCTGCTCACCCATTCTGGCGAAGTGAATTGTATCAACACCGGTGCTGAAATGCAGTCACCAAAGACGCTGTTGAGACAACCAAGTAGTCATCGCACTAAATGTGAGCGTCCTTGCGAATACGGAATCTGCTCTTTTACCAGATGGATGGTGACAGCACACTCGGTGTGCTGCACCTCAAAAGGTAGATGTACGTTCATTTGAATAACGTTCGGAAAATAAGGCTTTACTCCTCGCTAACATTTAAGTCATAATGGATTGATTTACAGCCATGAGAGCAAAATGTTTTCTTGAATAGTGCACTGGCATGGAGGAGGTTTAGTCACAGATGTCCACATGTTGGGAGTCAAGTCCCTAGTAAATGGGCAGATGCTGCCCATGAACTCTGTTCTCTACATTAGTTTAGACGAACTTACCTTTGCCTATGATCTTTAACATTCGGATTGATTATTTGGGGTTGATTAATGTCCCCAAAAAGCACTTTGCATCTTTTGTCCAAATATCGCTCAGTCCTACAGGACTTTGAACGAGGGACAATTAGCTTGATAGAGTCCAAAAAGCCAGGTCTTTTATCTAACCTGATAAGAAAAGCAAATACTGTGCATTGCGTTGGGAGCTCAGCTAAGACCAAGCAGCGTCAAGAAAGGCACATAGAAATTATTTGCACATGGAAGGACGAAAAAGGAACAGAGGGCTTCTTTTCTTGTACCCAGAGCTGGCACCGGCTCAGTACCCTTTTTACCCACTTTCATAATCGTAAATCTGTTTTTTTCGAAATTAACTGCACCTATATTGTCAAATCATCAGCGTAACACATCCGTATCAGTCTGTGTGCGGCGTCTAGTAAGCTCTTGTCGTTTTCGACACAGTTAGCGGTAAAAGATGATAATACTTACGTAGTACAGAACTATTCATAGGATACTGGCTGTCTGTATATTTTGTAAGCTGCTTTAGAGTGATGATTACGAGTTAGAATAAAGAAATGTATGGAAACTCAGTATAAGTTTGAAAACCTCCGTCGGAAGATGCATTATGTCTGACCGAATATCCTATGCTAAATGTACGGGTATATTTTACTGCTTTAGATGAATATTATTTAATAAGACTTTTTCACAAAACCTGCGAGGTTTACCACAATTCTCTATATTTATTAAACTAAAACGTTCGCAACTGAGACGAACAGCCCATCTGATGATCTATCTGGATAACATGTATTATGGTCACTTTTCGTATAAGAGCTTCCTGCTATGGTAGGGGTTCATTTCAATTTTCAGAGATATGTGCGTTTCCATCTAATCTCCCACTTTATTTTTCATTTACGAAAAAATCGGTATTGTTAAACAGATGTAATTTTGCAGACGCGGGTCATTTTTAATTTCGAAGAAAACTGAAAACTGCTTACCCCGAAGACCTAACGGCGTGAGAAAGAGGAGGCAGAGTCCTAGCGGCTCAAAAATCAGGTAGAGTGTCACAAAGCAAATTAGTGCACCCACAGTTTGCATTCCGGAGCCGCGAACGATACCGCATCCTGCGCCCTGTGTATTTACAGGAAATGTAGGAAGTTACCACTACTAACTGTGTCATTTGGTGTAGGGCAAACATCAGGAATATTCAGACGACATGGCGTACTATCTACATTTAGGGTGCCTGGAACCCGTTCATCTGACATTATCAGTAAATGTGAGCGAGTCCACGATCTTCCATATAAACTTGGAAAACGCAGAGACCCTATAGGCGGAGTTTTGCCCTTAATTTCAACATTATTCTTCACTAGGATGTTCGTGATAAAATAACAGCAAGCCGGTTGGGTGCACTGAACTTTTTGATTTTTTATTACTACAAAGGTTATTGTGTTCTCTGCGGAAAGCAATGGTTCGGAAATTGAAATAAACTTTCCGGGAAGTGTGAGTCCTTTAGCACCTGCAAGTTAACAGTGCAGTAATAGCCATGCATTTCTAGGTTAAAAGGCTTTTAATGGTCCAAATACTGCTAATTCCTACTGTTTCTCAGAATCAGCATACGATCTGATTCAAATCCGCTTACCTCTTACAGGTGGTTTGTGAAGAGGATAAAAGCTTCAAGTGCTCATTTTAATGTTTCATCATAATGAATAGAAGTCTTACGGCTTCGAACGGTTAGCGTGGTTAACAATAAATAGTAGGACTGCTAGGCTCTTATAAACTTTTGAGCAGTTGTTTATTTCCAAAAAGAAGGAAAAATATTTGAGGGCGAAAATCTCCCTTTCAAAAGTTCGGAACCACGTTCTTACCACAAAGGCGTCAAACAATTGAAATACCACGAGACACGGGAAGACCTCCGCTGTCAGCGATAAGACTGAACTAAAAGATAAACGATAACTTACGGTGAGCGGAAAATGGGCTTTCGGCAGCACACTATGTTTGCTATTACCTGAAACTTTCTGCGCCATCTAATTTGCGGATACTTAGCATTCCAACATGGGCGTGTAGGGTTTTTTAAATGCCTTTACTCGGTATACACAAAAACGCCCAAAGTAATGAAATTAAGATCATTTATAGGTGTTAATTACGAAAAACTCAATGTGTTGAATTAAATACGCTAAGTCTTTACCATGTAATATTCCAAGTGGCGTCTTAAATGCCCTACGAGAAATGGGCTAATAAACCAATTCATCATGGACAATCCGTACCATTATGAGTAATGATAAGCGTCTTAAACATCGGAACAACTTGTGTTATAACATAAATAAATTCTTTCTGTATCGTATGGGGGTTCATCTTTCCATGTCCAGAAAGTTCACTTGAGTTCCTACTGACTGGCGCTTATAAATCGAAAAAAACTAAGGCGCTTATCCATGTAGTAGTTTTTTTAAGAAAAATTTTAACTGTTTATTTTTTCAGCTTTTGGTATTTCGATCCAATGACCAAATGTAAAGCATTGTTACCTTTGCCAGCCTTTCTTACCTGTCTGAAGTAAAAATTTTGGGCAACTCGTATCGAAGTGTGAGAAATATGGTTGCGTTGATTATTGAAGCAAAACCTATAACAAAAAAACATCTACAGAAACCGCTAGAACCGTTACAGACATGTTTGTCATTAACTACCTTCAAATTCCGGAAAACTTCAAAAGCTGCAATCAAATTTGGGCAACTACTTTCGATAAGGACAAAATAAACGTTTCCTCTAGTTTCATGACTTGACTGAGAACTTATTTCCTGACCTGTGAGGAGATTATAATCATAAATATGTAATTTAGAACGGAATGGACCTAAAATTACTTAATTTTGTTTATAGCCTGTACGATTTATTTTAGGGCTGTACTAAGCAGTCAAGCAAAGAAGGTCGGTTAGCGTAAGGGACGGAAAAAGAGTCCGCATTCAAACGAAGGTTTAGCAGCCCTGGGTGGAAATTTCATGAAATCAGAAAAAAACTTGATGTTGAAACTTTAGTTTCAATTTTAGAAGCATTTCGAGATATTGCACAGCGGCGGATTCAATTAAGATACAACTATTTTGATTACAAAATCACGCGCAGGTGTTTTTAAATCGATCAGATATAATTTTACCATGGTTTTTTGCTCTGACGCGTTAACCCAGACTATCCTCCTTGCGCTTCAAAAAGAAATGAGATTGACATTGTAAACCTCGATGGCTCCTGCCAAGGCAGGTATGATAGATGGAAGTTTTACTGTGTCTGACTTCGTGATTCATTATAAGAAAGAGTAAGGCTACTGATCGGAGGAGCCTTGAAGGCTGTTTTTATATTTTGGCAAAATTTTTATGGCTACAATGTAACTCAGGGCAACATGGTTGAATATGCGGCTGTAGACCCCGCATACAACGCTTCGCGAGTCACCACTCCAGAGGGAGAATAAAATGAACCCCAAAGTCCACAGCAAATTTCCATAAATTGGCCCACTGGAAAGGGATTGGAACTTGATTTCCATTAAAACAACTGATCTAGTTTCTAACTTCAGATCAGCTTGGCCAGTTGTTAGGTTATGGTTGTTAGAGATGATAAAAATGTCATAAGTGATCTTCTCCGTATTTTCGCCCTCATATGTAGTGACCCTACTACGAGCGCCCGTTGCAACGCTGGGCCTCTTGCGGGTGCCCGCACGTGCGCACCAGGGCTGTCTGCGGTTCGCTCACTCGGCTTTCCAGCTGGCCAATCATTTTCACGACCGAGTCAGACATCTACTGGCTTAAGACCCTTTGACGCATTCCCTGATGAGGGGACTTGGGACGCAGCTCTACCGGCGCCGGACACGCCCTCGTCTGGGTGCTAACTCTCCAATCCCTATTCCAGTTATTCTGTACAGAATCAACAGTCTTCCCAACTGGCCTCCACCTTATCTTTCTATTTGGGACCGGGCTTATAGGTCGTGGTAGCCAGGGTCTCACAATCGCGGCCGAGGCCTTTCCGATAAATCTTATTGTCTTATAAGAGGTTTGATGGAATATGCCATTTTCAAGTAGGGTTCACTGGCGACGGTAACAATTCCCAAAGTTGAAACATTTGCTAAGCCGTAATTTGTGGGAATACAACTTGGTTGGAAACTTCGTCACGAAAATAACTGAGCTTGCCACAGATTAAAGGCAATGCAGCGACTCCTCATTAAATATTGCAGCAACTGATTTAATGATGCATCGAGAAAGTTGTTCAAATGCGTATTTACTTGAGAGAATATTGCACATAATGTCTAATGACCATGAAAAAACATTAAGCGCTTTACTTAAAAGCACTCATTCTTCGATTCTAAAACGGCGCCTTAAATAGCGAAAACAAAGTAAGTCAACGGCCTCAACGTACGATAACCCGGAAATTTTTGATGAGATAAGATAGAAAAATTTGTATTCTAAGGTATTTTTTCATCTGCAGGCAAGCAGAGAAAAATTTTCGGTCAGCTCTACTTCAGCAGTTTCGGGAGAAAGTACAGCTTTCCAAGGCTCTTCGGTGAACTGGAACGAGTCCGTGATACACAATATGTTTTCGATAAGATAACTTAACTGGTACCGGAAATTGGCTTGGGCTCAGCATCTGATCGGGCATTAACCATCATCCACGTGTTACTCTATTTCTGTTAAAAAGCCATACTTCACTCACACGACAGTGGCACGCATCAATATACCCTAAGTGCGGGACGGAAGTGCAATGTCGCGCTTTGTCTCTGGCCTACCAATCAACAATTAGAAGACTTTGAACTTCTTAGACATGAGTCGTTCTGGTAATATGTCGCCTAGCATGGTCTTAAGGCCGTACTAAGAATGATACATAGGGCAACCTGGTCCTCTGCCCTCCAAGTCCCAATTCTTTTGCCTGATGGAAATTACAAGTTACTTCTGTCTAGATACCATGACAGTTAAGGAGTGCTGAAAATGTATTGTTGTTGAGAGAGGTCTCAAGTGATTGCCTTTACCACATATTTCCTAAACGGGTGAAATTAAGATAAAAGAAAACGACTGGAGGTAGCTTCCGGACACAACAGCTGACTGACCACTTTGCCTCTGCGTCTCGTGCGCGCATGTGCTGCTCACTCTAACAGCCACGAACCGGTTTAAAACCTCGGATATCACCGTGACGACAACTGACGAAGGACAACACCACAAAGGGGTCCCCTGAACTTGAATCTCAGTCAGCAGGACTACGTGGAGAACTCACAGATCGGAGGTGGGCGCTTTGGAAGTGAACTACCCCGACTCATATTCGAGAGAGGAAACAGTGGAGAAGGAAAGGGTCATTTGTTCGTCCTCCTGGTCTTCTGCTCATGGGTGAAGTTCACGTCTGAGAGGTGCTAGTGAAAGACCTACAGGATGTCACCGACGAAATTCTTATTCCTTCCAGGTTCTTACTTTACACGTATGATAGGGGTACGATAGGGAGTGCAGTTTGCCTTCGTGACTGGAAATACCTGATTTGCCGAGAGTTTGAACACTCGTCTGTTCCCTGAAGCGCACACTGTCTGTAGCATCCCGAAAATGACTTAAACTCTTGTGAAAATGGTGGTCTGGTGGATCTATTTTATGCACTGAAAATGTCTCGTGGAAGTTAGTCGAAACACTTACAAACTATCACCATAGTCACTGAAGTTGTTGTTATTGGTCTTAGTGCGTTCTGTGCACCAAGACCCTGTCCAACTCGAATACTTGACGCGATCCCCAGTCCAAGCGGCAACTAAAACAAAGAACACCACTCCAGTCGCTTAACAAAATGGCCTTTCGGTTGATTTACCATGACACAACGAATCTCTGGACGGAAAAAGAATTTTCACACCTACGTAAGCAGGCGATGCCGATTACTCGACGAACAGCAAGCGCATTAGCAAAGGTAGATCTCAAAAAAACAAAGTCAATGTCTAGGCAAAAATAATTGCAATTGGCGTTAAATTCGAATGCATAAATGTCGCTTGAACTAAAGTGTCATTATTTTCGTCTAGTAGATAATATTGATAACTAGTTATGGGGGGTTTTTCATAAACAATGTTTACCAGGGTATAAGAGAGGGACTGAACGTTGAAGACAATCGTTTGAGTTGCTAGCTCCTTCTCGCCCACCACGCCTGTAAGAGAAAAGGGTTGTGTAAGAACTCCTCACCTGGTGTATTAGATAATTGTCGTGAGGGAGGGAAATCACAAAACCTGGCCTAATTAACATCGTACTGCTGGAAGAACCTTGTAACTTCCCATAAAACATTAATACTTGGGTACAAATGTACTGCTTAAACGATAAGTTAACCCTAGAAAAAAGCATCCATCAATAACAGTGAAGAATAAAGAAAAACCAATTTGGGGTATGTCTACAGCAATGACTTGTTGTTATTTTAGCGGCTTTCACCATATTTTTCGTGATCCATATTACGTGCTTTACACCGGAAAATTAGTTTTTATTGAGCACTACTTAAAACAAGCAGTTAGTGCGCATTTGTCAACAATTCCTGTCTGGGTTCAAAATGCTTTCTTGTAATCAATCAATCAAGGACATGACCAGCCACTTTGATTAATTCGAAAAACGCCTATATTCCTTGATGGCCACTGTATAGATCCAGTCAACTGAAACTGTAAATGCAGTGATAGAGTGACGCTCGCCGATCGTTTTTACGGAAATCACTCGTCTCGTTGTGCCTTAGAACTCTATCTTTCGAGTCCAACCGGCAAGCGCACAGCGGCGCATTATATAGGCAGAATGGTATTGCCGAAAAGACAAGGGAGACTGAAACGGCCATTTATGGCTTATTAGCCGTCGGTAGACTGTCATACCCAACCCCGAAGTGTGGAAAACTTGGGGCTTGATCAGGCGACCTCTTAGTTAGAAGTCCAACGGCTCTAACCGCTGAACCACGGGCTCGCTGTCCTGCCGATTGCCATCGGGAATATAAAATGGCAGAGGGATGCTCACCGACCTTTTTTACGGAACTCACTCATCCCCTTATGCCTTAGGAATCTCTCTCGAGTTCAACCAGTAGCCGCACAGCGGCGCTTATATTGGCAGGATAACAGGAGCCCCAGGCGTTCCACATTTCGGAGTTGGGTATGACTGACTGACGACGGATAATAAGCGAGAAGTGACCATTGCAGTCTCTCTTATCTTTGTCGGCAATGCTATTCTGATTACAGATGTAGTTGGACTGATCTGGGTAAACCACGGCTCCGCTGGGCTTTAGGAAAAGCGTCGTCCACTGAATCATGTTCAGAGATCCTTCTTGAAATTATCTTTCTGAAAAACACTTTCAGGGAGCACAAAAAAGCTGTCTTCGGTGTGCTAGAATTAATATCAAGCGTTAGACTTTAGGTCAATTCGCAATTGAAAACAGGTTCAGGCTAACTCATTTCCTGTCTGCCCTTAATGAGAGCAAGATAAATGATCGCCACCTGTCCTCAAATTTGCTGAAACAAAGGATACCTATCCTGGTTGTATTAACGTGTTTTTGACAGCATGAAGGAGTGTTGAATTGATCTAGATCGTGCTTGTCTTAACTTTATTACTTCACTCATTTATCTATGATGTCAGTGAAAGTCAAGCGTTGGGTAGAATTCCGAACGTATCCTCTCTGCGGCGTTCCCGTGCTTTGCCAAGTATCCACACTTCTGTTCAACTTTAAGCATTCCGTGATGCATATGCTATCCATATGTTTCAAATGCCTGCAAAAATGCATTGTGGAAGGCTTTGGAACAGAAAACTCAAAAAATATTAGTCTTCGGTTATTGCATAAAACTTGCTACAACACTGGAATCTTTGTGTAATTATTCACCAAACTGAGAACACGGGTACTAGCTGAAAGCCCAGACACGCGTGTTTCGCCAATCGTGTAACGCTGCCTGACGCAGCTGCGAGGGGTTCGGCTCATCAGTGGGTCCCCCAACCTTCCCCGTGCGATTTCTGGTATATGAACTCCAGTTTTAGCTTGCCCTGTTTAATTTCCGAGAAAATTAAAAAGGTACTGATGACTTTCTCTACTTCTCCGAGGACGCCACACGGATGTCAACAGAACATTATCTGTGGTCGGTAAGTTTTTACGGCAAACAGATTCGCTCTGGAGAGAATTTTCAGATTTGTTGGTGGATTGACTTTTAAAACCAAAAAAACTTTATGTGCCCCTTTTATTTGCAAATTCCTTCTAATTCCTGTCGTAATACTCTGCACTGTATTGTAAAACGAACCTGCTGCTATAGTCCCAAATTCGAAAATCCACCATTCTAGTCCGGTCATAGCAAGTCCAGGAAGAGCCAGTTTGAACCAGATGAACCAGTCAAGCCACATCTCCTTTGCATACCCTAAAAAGTCAAAAGCAATTGCGATAAGTCTTCAAGACAGAGGTTTAATGTCCCAGTTTAAATTCCTCTCTGGCATGCCGGACTGCGTGGGAATCTGTGCATCACATGAATGCTGCCCTGCCCGTACTTCTGTTATGGTACTTTCAGTTGATACCTTTTATTTGACAAGACACTGCAGCAATGACGATCTGCTGAAGTAAGAACTAGGTTATCTATATCGGTTATTTCGATCTCACGGATATACGATCAGTTTTGTGAAGAACTGCCTCAGGCGTCAGACACAACCTCGAGGCCCCTCCTCAAATGGAGAAATCGTGACACAGAAATTCTTCTTCCTGCCCTATATTCAGGGGACCTCAGAAATGATCGCCCGTCAGTTAAATCAGTTCGGTATCCGCGTTTCCCACAAGCCTGCATCCTCGCTGCGCACAGTCTTAACTCGAGTAAAGGATTCTAGCTCCAAAGAGGAACAGACTAACGCCATCTATCGCATCCCATGTGCCAATTGTCCCTGCGCATATGTTGGTCATACAGGACGACACCTGGGAACTCTAATTAATGAACACAAACTAGCTATCCGTCGCCGTGACCCACTGTCCCTCGTCTTTGCACACGCACTCCAGTGCGACCACCGTTTTAATTGGGATAACACTGAGGTCATCGCCACGGCCAACGCAAAACGGGTGAGAGAATTCCTAGAGGCATGGAACTCTAACGCGGACAGCATCAACCGCCACGTCGACCTAGACGCCCATTATGAGGGCCTAAGATCACGGCTTACTAAGCTGAGCCCCACGCCGCATCAGCGCCCGCAGTTCCCCCAACCTTCCATTCTCTCCCCCTCCCTCCAATACAGTGAGCCGTAACTGTTCTCTCCCCCCCCTCCTCCCCTTCCGGCTCAGAACTCAGCATGACTACCTCAGCATGCCCTCATCACTCCTCACACGCTAATGGTCCGCCCGTCAATGTTTGTCCTGTCGCGTCAACTAGTCTAGTGTGATTGTCTCACTCTCTCTTTTATCTTCCTTTCGTCTGACGACGGGTTCGTGTCACCAATTCGAAAATTCACGAGTAGGACTCGATTTTTTTCTGAAGAACCACTTCTTTTTTCATTATATCGTCTCGGAATGCATACCACTTCTACTCTACAACACCCTTTGTGTCCTAAATTCTGTCTACGCTCCTTAAACCCAAAGAAATGGAGCGTAAATTACCTCTGGAGCTCATCCTGCATTTTGGGATACAAGATTGCCAAATACGATGCTTTGATCTTCAAAGTTTCTCCAAAACGATTGATAACTTTTCGTGGGAATGCATCTGTTGAAAACGTTTCAAGGAGTTACGTAAAATGCCTATTGAAGGTGTTTTCAATACTTGGATCTCTGGCCACAACGGTCGAACTGTTAGGATTTTGAACAACCATAAACAGCCTAACGCTGATGGCAGTGACACTTGGTACAAAAATAATAATAATTCGGTCAGCAGAATGTCTAACTGGAGTTAACGACCTACAGTGCCACGCAAAGGAATCAGATAAAAAAAATCAGTCTATGCTCTGCCTTCTGTCGGTATTTGGATTAGAAAAGTCTCAATTTTTAGTCAAGAATTAGACTCGGCAAGATCTTATTTTGTAGCCGTACCTGCTAGGGGTTAGCGCCAAGGGGTTAGGGGTTAGGAATTAGGTGTTAGGGTTAGGGTAAGGGGTTGGGGTTAGGATTAAGGATGAGGGGTTGGGGTTAAACCCCCCATTACCACAAGTCCCGTATGACAGGCGGCTGGGGCTTGTCTACAGCAGGTACGACCACGAAACGAGATCCAACCTAAAATTCGTCTACTTCTGCTTACTTGTATGGCGACAGATACCGGTGAGTAAAGATTGGCGCAGATATTATATATTGCTAACTTTAAAAAACCGACAAAATTTAAATGTAGTTTGCCGAGAATGTTTCAGTTAGCGTCACCATTCACCGTTTATACAGTGAATACTAGCTCTTGTAAGTACGTGTGTTTAAGACTTCTTTTCTCTTTGACATATCTCTCTGATTAATCAGTCTGGTACGCGTCCTACTCTGTAAAAGTAGCCAGAGTCTACCGGAATTCCATCCAAGTATATCCTTCCCCTCCCCAACAATAGCACACGTCGAAGGATAACGAACATGAGGCATCGAGATGTGTCCTCTAAAATGAAACTAAGCGTGAAATCCACGAGGAATTTTCGGATCACTGTTTTCACAATGGTTTATCAATACAAGCAGCTTGTGAAGTTTTCTGCAATTGCGTACAAATATGCTCCTCTACACCTTGGTCTATACAGTTTAAAGGCCATATAAACCGCCTCTAGATAACACAAATTTATTCTTTAGGTTCAGATACCTTGAGGTCCTCATTCATGGTAGTCAGCATTGCAACTTTAGTTATGCAACCTTTTCTGGTGGGAAGAATATTCTGAAATTTCATTTATGAATTTCACTATCTACTGTAGTGGACTGCATGTTATAACGACAAGCACGGGTAAAGTGTCCCCTGATGCATAATTAGTACTTTCACAGGAGACCTCGACGGAAAATCTGTTTACTGACTTTGTCGAATTTTGAGATCCCCAAGACAGTGAGACTGTCACTGGCCACATGTCTTCGGTGAGGTCGCATTGACATAACTACACCCTTCGTATTTATGTGATGAGTGGGCAGTTGCGGCTGTGACTAACTGACCTCGGGTGGTGGATCTTCAAACGATTGCGGACGGCACGCAGAAAATATTTGTGCCCTGTGGCTACAAGTGTGTTCGAGTTTACCATCCAGGAAGGATGTCAGTAGTTTAGAAAGCAGTAGACGTCCTTGTTATTTCAGTATATTGATGCTATAAGGCAACTTCCAGGTCATACTCCGCCTACTCATTCGAAGGCAACTGAGGCTCCATCGGTTTTGATCCGTACGAAAATCGCTATTACCGAGCTCCTACCGGCACTCTGAATCCATGCATTTGTATTTGGATGGCGCTTCTGGACAACCGTCCGAACCCTCTAGACAGAAAATGGGTGATCCTCAAAAACTGTATTTTGTACTTAGTGCTCGCGTGCTATATAATAACACCGCTCATTTTAATTAGAACGACCAGGTGGCAGTTTACTTACCTCGCCAGGTGCTGTTAAGCAGTCCCGACCACTTCAGATAGCCGAGCGCACCGAGAAATTGAATACAATAGGCAGTTGACTGCGAAATGGCTGATCCACTGAAATAAAGCATATCTTGGAGTCAGGTTTGAAATGAAAATACAAACTTTCAAAAAATCGAACGATACCTAGAAGCGATAAGACAGCGGCGTGCAAATGTTAAATAGCTTTACGCTACACACGATATATTGGAAGCGTACACCGCGCGCAGCCATGCAGAACATAAGTTCACTTGCTTCTTTCCATGCCTGACAATGATGATTAATTAGGGTGGGTTACAGATCGCCTCGAATTGGTTCATCTTTTTTCCAGACTTAGACATTCCGAACACGTGTCGTAAAAGCCAGTCCATCATTTCCTTTGGTTAGGGGTGAGCAAAATAATGGGAGGGGGTGTGGGAAGGAGGCTGTCTAATCTGGGGCAGCTGGGTGAAGGAGGAGGCAGAGGTCGATGTCAGGGGTGAGACAGGGAATACGGATGGTCAGGTGTAACAATTTGCCTGTCAAGTTGATTGTTGTATCAGACCGCTTTTAGCGCATTTCATCCAAGGGCAGACATAGAGATCTTGTAGAGAACTCTTGGGGGCAGATAACAAAGCCAGTCGAAAAAATTGAGACGGTATCCGCTGTCTCGCATTTTGTACGGCTGTGCGCCTGCCCAATCTAACCCTTCTCGAAGAGATCTTGGGGTGTTCCTCACAACGAGCGACGATTTGTTACAACGGACTTGTAGCTCTTAACCCACCCTCTTGTCCGACGACGGAGTCCGAGGACCGGAGGTTCAAGAAACACTTACATGACTTTGTACTTGGTCTCTTTTATTGTCGTCAGCTCCGCCGCTTACCTATGCTGCCTCCCGTCCGCATGCGAGCGTGACTCAAACCTTGACTTGCGAGACTTTGACGTCGGTCGTTACTTCTCTCCTCACCGACTGACTGCTGTCGGACGAAGTTCGGATGCATGCACCTTCCTGATGAGAACACTGGCTGACACTGCCTGCTGATCTGTGTGTTCACTCATTCGCCGGAGAGAAGCTTGTCCGTTTAACTGTCTGCTCTGCTTTCTGATTTAAGAACCTTCAAGTTGTCGTCTATTGCTACCTCGACAACTTAGTAGACCGCGTATGTCCAGGTTTTGCGCTGACCTCCTCATCGACACCCCTGATTGCACAGTGCCGTTGCGGAAGTAGCAGCGATGCTGAATTCACTGGAAGGAAGACGAAGAAGATAGCAAAACCATCTCAAACTCGGGTGGCTTGAGGTGTCCTTGCGATGTCACATTGAGTGCAGATTGTCTTATTGGGGACGAAGCTAGCGTACTTCACTCGAATGACAGTTTTCGGGAAACAGTGGTCAAGCACCTTCGGTTTGTTCTCGTTTTCAGCACACATAGCTTAAACTTCAGAGCCTTACAAGGGGACTGGTTAGATAGATGCTCGTTCGCAATGAAGCTTTGTGACAACGCAGATATCGCTACAGACACAAACGCCTTCTAAAAACTGCAAAAATCTTGGGGGTTGCATCGGTCCAGAAGACGACGTTGTCCTTCTCTTGTTTATTTGGCAGCAGTTTTGACCCGAAATAACTGGAATTGTCGACTTTTTCAGTCCGGCAGACATTAATCCCGAGAGGTACATTTTCCTGATCAGGAACGCAGCCCGAAAACGCCGTCTTCCCAGCATTAATTGATAAAGCGACCCTATCCGATCACGCCATCTCCTTTAGCAAAACATTTTAGCTTGACGCTAACTGGGCGACATTGTTAGCATAGTCGAGGCCAGTCAGTCGGTATCTAGGGGCAAACTCGATGCCGTTCAAGTCGTGTAGGATCATCGCGATAATTTGGTAAACGACATAATTGTACGGGATGGACGTAAGAGTGCAATCAGAACGTACATCGAATTGCTGGGAGAGATTTCTGTGGGGCGAGACCCGTGAAGAGGAGATGTGTTCCGTCGACATGTTATCCCGATATAATATTCGCAGCAGAAATTTATGATGAGCGATAGCGGATGTTGCAGTGAATTCGGCAGTGCAGACGACCGTGGGTTGCTGGAACCATAGCGAAATTTAAGAATAAGCCACAATGTGAATATCTGGTCAGTGGATCTATATCTGACTATGAATCCTGCTTGGTTAAATCCAATTTGGAGTCCGACCATTTGAAACAACCTGAGTATGACAATGATGAAGACCTTTGTAGCGACGGCCTATCTCTCTTCTTGAGGCCAGTGACAAGGAAAATCGAGTCCCAACCATCGGGAACGAGCTCATCTTCCCCCGCTTATCCAGTCGCCTAAATTAACCAGGATGTCAGAGCATCGACATAAGATTTACGGACTTCAGTGAAAATTCCGTGCACACCGCACGTCTTATCGTTGCGCAGTCTCAATAGTGCGTTGACTAATGCCTTAGCAGAATGGGGTCAGATGACACTGCATGGGTTGAGAAGAAATGCAAACTCGAGTAGAGGAGAGATAGAGAATGTGATTGTTCGATAATCGGATTTGAGACGTCACTGAAAGCGCTCGTGTCGGAACCCGACTGTGGTTAATTCCCCAGAAACAAAGACGTCACTCATATAGTACATGGATTTACTTTGTGTGCCGAGACAACCTTCAACTTGATTAACAACTTGTCATAGATTTTGAGTGTCAGCAACGTTTGAGGCCTGTATTATGTTGGTCGCCCTTTCAGCCCAGTAACTTTTGCGACCATCTCTAACCAAGTTTGTCATTTTCGGAGTGCTCGGGAAAAATCACCTTTATGGGGCAGACAACGAGCTGTTCGTAATGCTTTGGAGCTGGTCCACTACCTATAGATCGTTCAGAGGAGTTTCTTAAATGCCTTGTTAACTGACTCGCATTGTAAAGGGAGACTGGATGTCGTACTTTTGCTTCTCCAAGGGGTCCTATGCGTGCAAAGTTTGACAAAAACGATAGGTTCACTTTCGAGCGTGCTTTAAAAAACATGATTTGTCCCATAGGTGTTGCCAGTTCGCATCGATCTGCAATCGAGATTCCAATTACAGAAACACAATTTGACTACAATGTTGTCAATTCGGTTAGCCGTAAGAGTTCCACTTGAATGCCAATCCGGTATGCTTTGGCGATGACGGTGGAAGTACCCGAAACGGCCAGTAAGTCGACTATTTAGAAATTTGCGAAAATTCGATAAATTCTCATCGGGCCTGTCAATTTATATGGGAACGAGATAAGAACTGAACATGCGAATTATAAGTGCAATCGATTATGGTTCGTCGTTTCATGCAAGCGGAGTATGTGAATAGAGTGGGGGAGTGGGAGGTGTCTGGCTCAGTCCAGCTACTCCGCTCCTGACAACGATCGGCAGTTCCCGGCGAGGAAGTCCTTCGACTGGTTCTCCCAACTGCGAGTGAGTCTGTTTACTGCGGTGGTAAGCAACCGATTTTGGTGCGTAGATAGAGGAAACAGAGCAGTTGGTAAAGTGCTCCTTCGGCCATGCGTAGGCCTGCTGGTCATGGACTGGTTGCCATACAAGGAGTAAATGGTTCGCCTGTTGGAGGGACGCAATAATTCCATGCTATTCACCACAGGAGTCGCATGGGCAACGATGATATTGGGTGAGCTAGGAGTTAGCCTCTGTGACCTTATTGTTCCGGTAGCTTAGGTCAGAGACTCGAACTTTAATAATGCAGCAGACACACCTCGTACTGATGAAGACTAGACGCCGTCAGACTTTGGGCATCAGAACCCAGGTACATTCTTATATTACAGCACTCAATATCTGGAGTCTTTAGTCGACTGAGTAGCCCAGCGCGCATGCTAATCGTCGGTACAACTGGACTGGGGTTACAGAACTCATCGGTTCCTTTGGACCCCGTAGCACGGGTCGACATAGTTGCATGGGTCTTTTTCACGGTGTCCCTTCAAATTTTGAATAAAGATGGGTCCCCAGCAGCCGACTGGACTGTTTATTCGAGGCTCAGTTCTCTGGCACTTTGTCTTAAGAGCCTAGTCTTAAGACAGCAGTGGAAACGAGGCCTGTTTAGTGAGGGTTCACGATCACCGTGTCACAGCGTAGTCACCAGTCTTTTCGTGTGAGATCTCGGCCCTCCACGTCCTGGCGGCACTGTCACTGCTAGCCCGAGACTGCTTCTTAATTACACTCACGAGCACGCTTATTTGACAACTAATCCTGACTAGAGGTCGCCCCATCACCAGTTATCAGTAGATAACTAGGCAGCCAAAAGTTGTGCTTCTAAATGAACTCTTCCCCCGCTGTCACCAGTATGAGCTCACGTACGAGTATTGGCTATTCCGGTGGTGCCCTGTACACAATACGTAAAGCTCCTTTTACGTTATTGAAGCGACCACTGTCAGCACAGCATTCAAGATGAACCTGCTTGACAACTGCCCAAAGCAGAGTTAAGCAGAGTTTGCATATAATTTTGGAGAAGGGACTAATCGTTCAACCAGTGCTACCTACTCCCCAGGTTGAAGTGAATTACTAGATGTACGCTGACTGGGACTGACTGAATAAGACAGTGAACCGTAGATGAAAAGCACCCTATGCTTAGTACCAGTATATCCATGCGATATTGCCAGTAATGATTTACTTAAAGCTAACGCCCAGGTTCATTATCGTACTTATCTCCACGTACGAGGTTCCACGAAACTGAGGTAATTAGCGGTTACGAAGGCACTACAGTCCGTGTAGCGCCGGATAACGAAAATGCAGTAAAAACTATGCCAAATGTTCTTCCTCGACCGTTAACGAGTTTTGACGAGAAAGGATTTGGCCGAGATGTACTGCATACGATTTCTGTTATCGGTTGCCTGACATGATTAAAATGTTCGTCTTGCAACAAAAACTAAACGTTCAGCTAGCAGCAATGCATACCATACGAATTTTCTGCGCGAATGCTAATGAGTGTTCGTCAGAAACAATGCATACATTACTAAAGCAGGAATAAAATCTCTGTAAGTATTAATGAAAGCTTACGAGATTCCAGTCTCCAAATGGTAAAGCAAAATATAGTGCAACAATGCGTTGATACAATTTCCCGTAATTCCTATTATCAACGGGGCCACGACTCTATTCTATAATAGGAACAGCGGAAATGGTTTCATCAGTATATGACACAAAAAGCTCTGTTGTTATAGATAGCAACCTCCCAAACACGTACCTGGGCCTGAACGTATTTTATGAGTGTTTGATAGACAGCCACAAACTAAAGAGCATGTCATCCAAGGTTTCATGTTAAATTCAACTTACCCAAAGACCTGGCATCATATAAAGTAGGTAGTGACTGACCAAGCTGAAGAAGAAAGGTACCGACGCAAAGTTGTTTTCAGCACTTTAAAATCACTATGCGTTTTTAAGGGAATGTTATTAAAAACGACAAAGGGGACTGACGTGACCGTTTTTGACTTGTCTGTGGTCGTCAGCCATGCAAATCCGAACCTCACGTCGCAAGACACTGAGGTTCAAACTCGTACTTCCCAGATATTGAAAGTTAATATAAAATCTCTACCATTAAACCACACGCCTATATTCTGCCATTTAGTTTTAACTCCGTTAGAAATCGTTCATTTAAGCCCGTAGTCTTAAAAAACCGAAATCCTAATAGCCAGTTATTGAAAACGCAAATCTATAGCACAGCCTAACCCATATTATAGCCCCACAAATAATACCTGACCTTGATGGAATATAAATTCCATATAATTTCTACGGGGGGATCAGATGTCGGTAAGTCAACCTTATTTTAACATTTATCAACTTGACCTGATTGCACTACGAGGTTAGTACGAATCAGATTTATCCGGCATTTTACTTAGGTCAACAAAGTAAGTGTATTTACGAAGCGCATCAGAGGACGTCGACAGTCCCTTAACATTGTAAAGCGAATCCGCCTAAACAGGGGTCTATATGCTCTTTTATAGAGTAAGCCCAGGTAAAAAAACACCTACGGCTATTGACGAGAACATGAAATTACCGCAGTGACATGGCCCTTCTCTGGACCTCGGCAGAGAGCCTTTTCAGTACTAGATGGTGAAATAAGGCTGACCGTTATTTGGACAAATCCACCGATGAGCAAGGTGATTTAGTAATTTTCGCCGTTGTCCGCTCAACAATCACCATTTGCAACTGTGGTTTTGGACATTTCCTATAGGCCCTAACTTAATGACGTTTAAAAATTGCATCTGACATTTATGATGCAAGAGGAAAGACAGGCTCTCAAGAATCGCAAGGTGAGCTGCATGTCCTTCAGGTTTGTGGCAAAACTTTGTCATTCAAGGGCTTGAAATCAAAGTAAATTCCCCTCACCTCGTTCCAAAGTATTTGTAAACTCAAAAGTCTTCAATGGTGGAAAAAAATTGACGTACACTGCAATTTTAGGGTTCTGTCGGGCAGCTAGAAGGATCGGCTCCACAATCATATGAATTGCCCAGCAAGGGAAACAGCAGAATGAAATAAGAATAAGAGCTGAAAAAAGCGAAACGAAATTTGTTGTCAGATGCTTGAAAGATTCTGTGCAGGCATTATGAAATCTGGAAGTGTCAAGCACGTGCACCATGAAAACAGAAAGGACAACACCTTAAAATCGTTTTGTAATAATTCGTGCTTGAAAACTGCTGTATCAAACGCTACAGTGCGATGACATTGTATAATTAAAACCCTTATATGCTTTATTTAGGTAATACACCACAATTAGCGGTATGCATAGGAGACGGTATTCCTTAAAAATTAGTCTTTACACTGGATTATATTGCTGCTAGAAGAATGCAGCTTTCGAAGTAAGCTCTCCATGAGTATCACGCTGTACAAACTCTCTGATCAAGACCGACAAATCAGACTGATTTTTCGAAAGATCTTGTATTTATCCTTAGTGTTGTGGCCTCACATCGGTTGGATGAAATGTAGATAATAAACAAGATGAAAACCGTTTACGATCAGCGATTCTAGTCTCCTCCAAAGTTTGCCTGAAGCCGAAAGTGAAAATAATTGCGCATGCATTATTTGACGAAGTGGGGCGGTGAGCGAAGTTAATAGCGGAAGAATACTACTGCCATAATACGACATGCGTAACAGTGAAAACACTAATTTTTTAGGTTTCCGAAGTAAGCAAGAAGAGAATAACAGTGGTCTACCCATGCGATGCAAATGCAAGAATTAGTAGCAAAGCTAACTCAGTGCGATGAGGATTTGAGATTGAACAGGGTTACATCGAAAACATGGTTATCATTCGACGCAGTGGCAACTTTACACAAAGGGATTTTGAGAACGGTAGGTAGTGTAACCCTACCTCGCAACCAGTAACCTAAGGCCCGGGTAATTCGGGAATGGTGGAAATAGGGGGTTTTGCGGGTGGGGCATCACTGTGGAGGAGAAATAAAACTAATGCAATAAAACATCAACATAAATAGAGTTTCGTTCAAATTCCTCTACTACTCTTAGATATGGCAAAGGAATTAGGCACGTTATTTGAAAAACAAAAAGCCACCCTCAATAAACAAGGGGCTTTTGAATAATCTGCCACTTGCTAATCCTATACAGGTCAGGAACCAATGGAACGAATAAGCAATGGGAAAGGAGAACAGTGAATGTCAACTAGTGAAAGTGTAATGTTTATCGCTCACAGATGTTAGAGGAGCTATGGAAGTGCACTTTAATGAATGTGTAAAGTGTCAAGTAATGTAAATGTAGTCCCATGTTGTATCTGCATCAGTGACAACTCGGTAATGTAATAAAAACATTGGGGAGAGTATAAAACGTATATAAAGGTTATGAAAAAAATGAAATGCATTAGTTAGTAGAGGAAGGACGGTTGCCTATTTTTCCTTTTAAAATACGGACAAGCAATTCCAGGTAACGGAAAGGCCAGACGACTGAAGTTTTATTTCTGGCGCAAACGGAAGAAATAACCGAAGCTATAAACTGGGAGGTGGTGTAATACTGCCAATCAAGGGAACTGTTATCTATTGTGGCCAATTGCCAATGTGGACGCTAGATACGTCGGCATTGAACAGTTTACGGTCAATCGTCCCAAGCATTGTAAGAATTCTACCACAGGAAAACACACCAACGCGACTAACGCCTGTTGAAGCAGTCCGAAACGGTAGCTCCACGACGGAGGGCCGCTGTTGGGTCGGGCAATATGAGTCCATGCAGGCGAGGTTCAATAGCGTCTGTGGTTTGACTTAGCACTAGCTTAAAGCAAACATGGGAAATATTGCTGTCGCATATTGCGAAAGCGTATTCGGTGTAACAGCCTCTCGAAAAGGGAAACTGAAGGGCTCCTTTCTGAACGCAAATTAGCGACCTATTAGAAGTAACATTCTCTACGTTAGCTCAACTAAATTTAACTGTCTTATTAGTGTTCACGCGCGGTGCTACTCATAAGTGTTACTGAAGAAGTAAATAAATTAGGGCCTACGCGTTTGACAACAGAAACCGTCTAGGGATATCGAGCAAGCCAAACATTTATGTTCAAACTGACGGCAAGTGAATCGACATTCAGTCGGCAATGCTCACAAAACACGTTTTATGGTGAGTACCGACATGGCACAAAAAAAGTTTAACTACTATTTTGGAAGAAGTAAGTAAGTCACAGTGTATGGAATCGACACCGAAAGACGGTACAAGTACACTGGGAAAACAGGGAAATCAAAGCCAGACACAACGGATCACGGAGAGCGGGAGCTAAAACCGAAGGCCACCTCCTGCAAAATAGAGAGGTCATACTGAAACAACTCGGCATAGGCTGTTTGATCGATGCGCCAGATAACACCCAGAGAGGGACTTCCTGCAAATATGAAACAATAAACTAACCAAGGCCTATTGATAGAAATATAGTAGTTTGTGATACATAATCAAAGCAGTGGGTTTACACAGCCTATCCTTTCAATTAAGTGACTTAGCAACCAGACCAGTGATTGAGAAAAATCTCAACGATGACGGCTGCTGCCGCCAGCGCATTTGCATCATCAGGGGCTTTGGTGACAGAACGTTCAACTGGTGTCTGAGAACGTTAAGCGAGCATTCATTGTTTACGCGTTTTTCTTATATAGTGTGCTCTGCTCTCCATCTGAGGTGCATCGGGCATCATACCCTTGCCCATATTTTGCTCTATGTCACCAAAACCTCCGGCTGCAGATGATGTGAAAGGGTGGTTCGACAAATGCAAACGACTAGGTCCACCACTGTTTCACGCGTTCAGGATAACTGTGGCCTGCGTGCGATTTCGCTCACACTGAGAAAGGCTTGCGCTGCATCTACAGTAAATGCGCTATCTCAAGAAATGTCAACCGAAATTCCGAAGCGCGTTGCCATTTCAAAAAAGATTATTTAAGCAGGGTCATCAGGGTAATTATCATGTCGCATTATACGAAGATATTTCAGTTACGTCGGGACAGCGGCTTTTAAGCGAGCACCTTATCGACCACCTGAGTAAGCTACACTCCGTAAAAAAGAAACTGCTTAATTTGTACGAACTGTCTCCATTGACTTCCGCTGCCCCTACAAACACTACTATAGTTTATTAAAAATATGCATAAAAATATTCCTTCTCCTACTCATGTGGTGGAAATTTGCGTGTTCTTCAAATTCTATGTTTAAAGGAATGGTATCTTTTGACTTCAAAATTTTATTATCAGAAATCTTTTCAAGGCCGTGAAATGTCCAATTGTACAGTCGCATCAGTACATTCATTAATGCTGTTTATAAAGTGAACAACATGACCCACATCCATCATAAACTTTTATGCACGATTTTCCTTGCATGAAAGCCTACAACTTGTATTTCGGAGGCCCGAATACAATTGCAACGGCAGGTTGCGTCCAAAATTACTCCAGAATTCAGAAAGTGCTTTAAAACGAAAAAACACTCCTCAAGTATTAAGTCTGAATAAGACGTAAATAACCACCAAATGAGTAAAGAAAAGAATATTGTTGTGCATGTTTTCTGTAAAATATACTTGAATTTATGTTGGAAATCAAAAATCATTGGGAATACTTCATGCTGCTTAAGTAGCCATTTTTGCAGAGTATACTATACGCAAGTGGTCGGTCGGTAAGAAATTCATTCAAAAGCTGGCATCCTGACGCGACTGGGCTACTTTGGTCTTGTGCAGCACTATAATTATTTTGACAACCCTGCTTAAGTAATCGTTTTGTGTTCAAAACACATTTAAGGATTTCATTCGACATTTCTTGAGATATCGTATCTACTTCATTCCTTCTTACTACAAGCACCTCGGTCCGATGACATGACGCGGTAAGGACGACCACAAGCAGTGCGGACAAAAGTATTGATCAAGTTAAACATCCTGTATGTCTGCGACACACAGGTTATGCTTCTCGACTCTGCATGTACGAGGCCTAATTTGGCCGGGGCCTTGGATGTCACGCAATTCAGACTGCCATAGGGGTCCCACCCTCGTTCCAGGGTGGGATCGACTTATCCTACAGACTGGAAGCCTTCCACACCATCACACTCGACGCATGGTATTCAGCGTACTGAGGAATGCGTTGATTTTTCTGCGGCCAAATTTGTCAATATCGACCACACTCTCCTCCAGCAGCCTTTTCACCAAGTAGCGACGAAGCTGGACGCAACTAGTGTCTTTTGTCTCTGCTTGAAACAGACTAGGAGCATGCATGGCAATGGATAAGAGCTCACAGCCTCGGTGCAGCCCTACAAACGCATGCAATGAAATTATTTAGCTCCCAAACAGGTCCAGCGCAGCTAAACAGCGCAGACCATTTGAGGGGAACCGATTGGCTGTATCAGTAGCCACAAGTCTTAAGCTAGATTTTTAAACGATTCCGATCATTTCATCTACACTACTTTTAAAATATCGCCTGTCGATTTGTAAAAAAACTTTCTGGGTAAAGCTGGGGATAAACAGGCGTGATTTGTCCTCGGATACACTTACAGAACGGTTATAAGACATGTATTCGTCTTATTCGAAACCGGGGTTGTCGGTCAGGAAGTCAATAACACGGTAAACCATGGAACTAAATTCGAGAAAAAGGTTCCCTCAACGCTGCAAACTTGGGCTTGGTTAACTTTAGGAAATGCGTCCATTACAGCGTACTGCCCATCAGCAAATAACAGCTACATTAAAAACTCAGCTAGTGGCCTGATAACAGTGTATGCGGACAGTAACTGGGACATGTTCTTATGCTTGGAAGCCGCTGAGATTTTGTTATTTATCAATCCTATCCAGAAGCATACAAAGACTGCTCAAATTATCACGGAGGCAAGTTTAAGGGAAACGTGAGTTGGGCAAAGCTTACCTCTTTGTAACTGGACACCCATCTTGAACTTGTCCTCTCCACCAAATGTCTTTTTGCAGAAAAGTCACAGAAAAATCAAGACATCAATACTGGGATCATAAATAAAATGTGCTGCCGCATATGAATTTAACTTTTGTTTTTATTAACAAAAAGGTCCACGACTTCCGTGTCATTCCGAATAAAATGTGGTACTTCAAAAGCATAAAGAGAAGTAGTGTTTGGCCTAAATTAACAGAAGCATCATAAAAATGCCAAACGCTAGACATTCTTTGCGCCATATGACAACCTGTAAGTCAACGCGACTGCTAAGCTTCTAAAGTAGGAGATCAGTCCAACTTCAGTGCAATCAGTCCAACTTAACTGAAATCAGTACTTTGGCATGAACATAAATTCTGATTTTTTAAAACCCTATCTATATTCGTTTCTGAAACCCAAAAACGTGAACTTTTGGTGCGGAATTTGGATCATAAAGTTTGGAACATGAAATGTGGCTGGCTGATGACGGCCGACCAGTCAGAAATGATCTCTCCAAATTCCTTTTTTATTCTTCATCAATAGCAATGTAGCTTTGAACATTTTGATAGGACAGTTTCAAACCTCCCGCCCGCCGGCCTTCTTAAACACACGTTGCAGGCTTATTTGTCAGTTCTCTTTCCTTAACGTCGTTTACTCCAAATTCAATGCTAATGTTAGCAGCATGCAAATAAAGCAGACGAAGGAAATAATACTATCCCCTATTTTCACACAATTACTGCCTACTTGGTGCGATATTGGCCATTCATATAAAAGAAGGACCAGGTTTTTCCTGTTTTAGCGCAAGAAAAATTTCAACATTATCTTCCTAGACGGTCAGCCTCATTGGATTATTTTATTATCAGTGAGGGCAGAGCGAGTCGTCCAGTAGACACAAAAAACTTTCTTCTGAAATGTTACCGAAGATTAAGGACTGATATAAGAGGTAGCATTTCATGTAATCAATTTGAATATATTGTGCCGAAGCGAAACCGCTTTCGAATTTTATCATGCATAGTCGACCTCAGCATTCGCAGTAGTCAGGAAACACTGTCAACCACAAATAAATGAGATCCGCGAATACTTGAGATGCCACCAAAACGCTTATAACTGCCTATCTTAGTGCTCCAACAAAAAATATGCCTTACACTATCATCTCCAGTTATTTTAGTATTATTTCAAAGTTACACTACTACATTGCCCTCAAAAATATATGGCTCAAAGCTATGCGTGCGCGCAGCTATTATTTTAACTTTTTCCAGGGCGTAAGGTAATCAATTTATCCTGAATTCAGACACGCAAACGTTCCTACAGCATTAAGGCCTTACTTTTTTTAGTAATGCGTACAGTATATAGGAGGACCACTGGTGCATTCGAAACTATAGTGAGCAGTTAATTACTGTATCCAAACATTTCGATATGAATTTGAATATGAGACTGAATGGGACTCCTGTATTGGTTAATTTGCAAACACCAGCTAATAATGTGTCAAGGGACATTGCATATAGGACTTTCGGCTTCACAGGTTGCATTTTCTTTCCAAGGAGCTTTATGTTTGGAATTTGCGTATCAGTCGGCAAACACTCTTTAAAGAAAAAGTGTATTCTGCGGATATGTTGCTGTGCTTCCATTAATATTTGAAAATTCGCGAACCACTTTATAATTGAACTTCACCTTTCTTATTATATTTCTTGGAATGCCTGTTTTTCAATTTATAGTAGAAGGTGTATGCAGTCACGAAAATAAATGCAAATGATTACCGAATACTTTAGATGCGCTCCATGAAAAAAGAAATCTGCGAATAAATGAACCGGCGAATACTGACCCGCGAAGAGACGGGCTTTTGATTATAGCAGGGGAATCGAAAATTGGTGGTTATTTACGTGTTTAATGCTGGTATCAATAAATTGAATGAAATATCGAATTCTGCTACAGCAAACAGGTTAATATTCATTTTTGGCCTAATATTTCCATAAGAGATAACTTTTTATTTTGGTTTTATGCACCAAATGTGAACGAATTTCCGTTTCAGCCTTAGGAAATGGGCCTAGACAGAAAACCTTCTGAAGACCTCACCGGCCATCGAAAATGTAATAACTGCATTATTTTGAGCGCGAAACTTTATAAGGTGGGCATTGCTGTTTATTCATCTGGCTGTCGAAAATAACTTTTACCTGAGAAAAAAGGGTATCACATGCTGTCAAAAGTCCTGTCATTATCGCCACGCCAGTGACGTTAAAGACCGAGATTGCTAGGCCAACGGCCGCAAGATTTGTTTTGCCAAGGTGACCGCAGAAAGCCAGACTGATCGGCCCAAACATGTACGTAACCACGGAAGTAAAAACCTAGGGAGAAAATCTGTAAATATCAATACATTCTGATAATTATATTTACCGTCATTTAAATGATCGAAGAAAGTATGCCTATGCAAGTCGAAAAAGCAGTGTTTGCTCCTAGTTAGGACGCAATATTTTATGGTGAAGATTATAAGACGTATTAAGAATTGATAACTTTACTTATCGGTGTATGCCTGTGGAAGAGGCCTCAAAGATACATGGAACTACTGCAAACACTTTTTGTGGGCAGAAGAATTATTAGTTTAGCTCGGTCTTGCCAACGCCACATGGTGGCGATAAGAAAGAGCTTGAGACTTATACAACGCGACCAGTCCTCGGTACTTTATTTTAGATCCACTGTCATAGCTTGTCCGTGCATCTGAAAATAACGGCTAGAAACGCTGTTGGTAGCTCCATCGTCTTACACAAGTTTCTACAAACGTGACCTCCCAGAAAGTAGACCCTCGTTGGCTTTTATGGACATACCAGCCAGCGTCCAACAGGCGTGGACGCGGGTTACTGCATGGTCCGTCTTGACCTTGTGTTACCAGTATGCATTTCCACCAGGGGTAAAACGATCGAGACTATGTAAATCTCGTTTGGTCCAACGAATGAGCCATCGACAAATTGTGACTCAGAATATTCTATGCAATGAGGCCTGAACAAGCAAATAGGCAAAAGCAGGCGATTTCGATCTCGAACCTATGCCCAACTGGTGAACATCAACATCAAAATCGATGCATAATTGCCAATTGCAAAACTCGGATTTGGATAAACTAAAGTCTGATTCATACGTCAACGTCCAAATTATTTAAAAGGGAGTCGTATCGGTATATTAAAGTGACCAGAAAAGCAACATTAATAAGAGACTAGGATACGACAAGCAAAACTTTGAGACGGTGAATACGCGAAAGTGTTGCGAAAATGGAATTAGTCCCCAGCATAATTAACTCGCACTATATGTAGGTCCGGCTTTAAGCCATAACAACTCTGTCTATGCACGAGTATTTTTTCGGCTCCGGAGGAAACAACAGCAAGTGTTTAAAATCTTCACTGGCCCGCCAGGCGCCATCATCACCATAATTATTCAGTCTACAGAATGCCTTCAAAGGAGTAATCCACGCCCTCTCGCCCAAAGTTTTTCTGTCCATGCTTCCGATGTCGAGTATAAAAGTCGAAGCATACGATAAAACAACTGCGAATTCTGGATCCATTCCACCGGTTATAGTACTTGGAGAACTACTCTAACCTAGGCCTTCAACCTACCCCATGTACTCGAAGCTAAATTAGACTGAAACTGCCTCATTGAAGAGTTCCTATACTGTAATGACTTCAGAAGCAATCAACCACAGAAATAGAGGAAGATCAGGAGAGTATGCGCCAAACTTGGAGGGCAGGTAGGACATTGCAACCCGTAAAATAAATCAAGTGTGTGGGCAGAGGCGTCAATAGCATCACGGTCGTGAAAAGGAGGGCAAAAACTTTCAAAACAAAGACTCTCTACCCGATATTTTACTTCCGAGAGACAATTTCCACATTTCCGAGTTAGTATGATCTGGATACTGGCAAGCCAAAAGTGGGTCTTGCACTCACTGGAAAAATGATTACTTTCCTCTTTCTCTACTTACGGATTGTCTCCACAGACCATGAGCGAAACGAACTATCCTACAAACATATTTTAACCCCAGTCTACGATAAATATTGTACAAGCACTATACAATTTCAAAGCCCCATAATGTGTACATCACAGCCTATTTGACAAAAAGAGGTATCGACTCCCATGCAAGACATCTTAATTTTTGGGCGATGCATAACGCCTCGACTCTGTCAACGTCATTATCAAACCCCCAATATCGATTAACTCTTAACGGCGAGCCACCACAAGCGAACGGTGATCCGGAACAGGCTAGAAAGGATGCGACCTACATTGTTGCCAGGTGTCAGTTCAAAACTTTCTGGTAGAGGCAAAACGTTACTCGTAACCTTAAAATGGGTCGTACTTCAACATGAAGTTCCTTATGCTCTGCGTAAATGTAACCTAGGACAAAATCATGTAGGCACGAAAATGTCTATTTTCAGACAAGAATTTCGTTTACTAATGCAAACAACAATTTTCTACTCAGTTGACATATCCTGCATTTAAGAAAAGGTGAGCGCGAGGAAGCCTAATGCCTTCTTGAGCCCCTCGAAAGTTCTTAGGGGGTAATTGAAAGCCGGTTTCCACCATCAAATAACACGTCAACATCTACTATCAGTGTGGAAAGTGCTAATTTATGAAGCCGGTCCTACTTTAAAGCTATCCCAACTAACAGCCACATGATCAGCAAATCTGATCTCGCTCACCTACAATTTCTAACAGTTGACAACTTTTTGACTGGCCTAGGGCTACATTTATCTCCGCAGCAAATGTGGAATGTAAAGACTGAGTGCACTTAAAGCCATAGATAATCTGAATTTTTAAGCCGGATAGGCGTTAAAAGCATGCGTTTGGTTTCCATGAGGAAGCCTTGCGCAATGATTCAGCACTTGCAACGGAAAAATATAAATAATTTGTAAATTCCAGATCGCGCACCCATCTAATACTAGCAGGAAATGCGTTATAACCATGGATTTTTTCATGTAAAACTGTTTAAACTGTTAGGCTAGTGCGTCACGGTTAGCCGTGATGAACTCTGTGGTAATACATTATGTCGTGTTGAAAAGAAGACTCACGATTGGGACAGCTAGTTTGCATAGTTCCTTGCATTCAGGCCAAAATCCAAGTGGAAATAAGCGATCCCGTAAACGTCTGCAGCAGGTTAGTGTAGGCGCGTCTCCCGGAGTTTGCTCATCCTTTTCAACTGAAAAAGTAGCCGAAGGCAAGGCCGTAATTCAGGGCCACTCAGAATAAAAACAGCTGTACGACGAAAACTGTTGCAATTTTTTATATGACATTATCATTTTTAGGAGACGTTGGTACATATTCACAGCGCCTGCGAGTTGGCTGCCTGAAACCACGGTCTTTTTCTGGAAGCTTTGATTGGATATAAATAAAAACCACTTTTATCAGCAGTCCTAAACGCTGTTTCTTTAACTGAGTTCCTTTTACTTATAATCTTTATAAATCCCAGCGAAACGCACATCATAATCAAATGTCACAATTCTTGAAGTAGGGCGGTTATTTGGGAAAATTAAGAACAGTCTTCTGGTCGACAAAGAAAAATACTTTTAGATAAAGAACTATGTGTGATAATCTTAATGAAACAGGGAATTGTGAAAATAAATTACGACTCATCGGTGAGAATTAATGAAAGCAGCCCATTGTTATGTTGCAGAGTTTGGACTACAGTGCCCGTTTAAATGGCCGATTGGTACGAATGCTCGATACTTTTTATACGACAGTTGGTATTCGCCGTCTTTTCGCCGTACGATCCATTAGTTGCCGTAGACTGCGAATGTAGACAGGACTTGAACAGTTACCTCAACCAGGCTATTTATACTCGGAGAGATTTATATGTAAAGGACAAGAGGCCTATTTAGTATAACCTCTTTGTCATAACCTTTCGTGTTAAACAAGTCTCGGTCGTTGGGGGCCAGCGTGACACATTACTTCGCAGTATTTGACCCAGTTTACTATGTTGTTGGGCGAATGTTGAATAATAGCCATCCTTCTGCCACCGCCAACTGATGGGCATCATCAGTGCAACTGCAGTTGTTCGTTACAGTGTGACGCGTCGACCGTGAGGGAGGGAAAATGCTGATCTTCGTTACGCAAAAATCAGCCGCGTCCAACATGCGGCAAGATGCCCTCCCAATGCCCGCACTGCTGTCATTATCTGTTTCCATGTTTAGCTTTCGTGGAACTCCGCCGCCGCGTCCACTGAAGTGTGTCTGTAGATCAGTACGTTGCAGGGGTGGTCATCTAGCTATTTATATACATCGCCTCTTTGTATAAGACATCCAGTTTTGCCCCACAATGCGGGTGGCCACTCTGTCGGTGAAATAAACCCCCTCGTGGACGAACGCATGTCCCCTTGCGCACAGTGCTCCGTAATCAAAGACAAGGGGGTTTTGAGGTGTTTATTCTGCTGTTTTGGTAGTCACCTACCAGCCTCTATGACGAAATTGGCTTGAAAAACATTAAGCCGAACCCGATGGACGATGCGCGATGTTTCACAAAATGGCAAAAATCCTTTCGGTCCAATGATTCAGCGAAGGCGAGTCAATTCGTTTCAGTGAGATTGAAGAAATTGACAATATTGTCAGACACATTATCAATAGACTGCTTTCATCGCCAGAGTATCTGTCTGTTTGCTGCTAGTCGGTGGATCGGCAGGGGTCATCTGTTTCCTCCGAGAAATGTGCGTTTAAATAACAGTCTGCCGTGAGCTGACTTCGTAAGAATTGCAGTTTGGTCATTTTCCCTTCCGATCAGCTTTAGTGTTTTTCCACTCGCTGTTAGCGGGGAGTACACACCGGATACTAACATAGGATTCTGGGTGTCATTTGCCCTCCCGTGTGCGGTCCTCCTTAGGATTCGACCATCCGTTGGAGTTACAAGATATGTAAAAACACTGAAAAATAGGATCTGACTGCTCATATCTTCGTTTTCTTCCTCTTGAATTAGATTTGCATAGATTTAAAATTATATTTTCCATGGGTTAGCCGATTTCAACGTCTTTACTGTGTTACCTCAGAGGGAAGTTCAAGGATCTATACTGAATTTGGGATGAGCACGTGCCTCACCGTTTGTCCTTGAAGAGCAGGGTCTGAAGCATGACGAAATAATAATGCATTGACAATAAATAAACAGTCGGTTATTGGACGTTGGATTCCAGTTCAAACGGAAAAGCCCATTTCCATTCTGCACTCGCAATACCTTGGTAAACATTATTCTCATGTGACATGGTATATTCTTAGTCATAGTCGATAGATCACGAGTATGCAAACTTAGACTTACAGAGCGGGGTATGATCGTGTTAAGTGAAAGGATAAAACACGTGGGATTGGCAGGTCATTCATGAGCCAGACGCGCATGATAGATGCACCGTGCGGTGCTTGACTGACTTTGAGTCGTAATCTGTACCCCCCTAGCTATGCTTCGCTCAACGGTCAAACCCCAGTAATCGTAAAAATCTGAAAAAGTGAACGACAGCTAGCCCTCACGCGGCCGGGGCTAATCCAGGTGGTCTTCACATAAACCAAGTCTGGCACACCGCAATGGAATTCAGCAACCGCCTGGAATGACAAGCACCCTTATTTAGTAGTAGCACAGCTTAACTCCTCGCATATGATGGACGAAGAGGAAGTGCCCCAAACCAATGCTGAACAGTCGCGCTGTCTTCAATCCGGCCGGTGGACTGTGGAGACAAAATATGCGATTGCAATGTTATGCAAAACAAGAAACACCCTCCCCGTTTCTCCCCACAGCCTGCCAGTGTAACAATGTCCAATCTGACAGCCTGAAATATCCGTTTCTCCCTAGAAAACTCGATGAACAACTGACCAGGAAGGAGGACAGCTCTGGTATTCCGAGAGGTGGTATACTAAAAAGTGGCCTTTGCGGCTCTCAACAAATCCCAATTTTCCAAAAAATGACAACCAGAGGAGGTGGGTTCTGGATGCACAGTCTTCTGGAGAGAACTTCTAAAGTTATGGCGACGTGGTGCTAACACCGCTCTTAGCGTCGAGATCCACATTTTATGACGACTACCCTGTCTGGGCAAGGCACCAACAACCGTCTCATTGGTTTGAGACTGCCTCTCCGAGGAAACAAATTTATTGCCATCGCCCATGCTTCCGCAAACCAAATGGCCAGTTCTGCTAACATGACGAAAAAGTTCTATGAAGACCAGTAAACCCTCTAAGCGATTGTGTCAGAGGTACACAAACTGGTTTTCCCTCCTGTATCGAATGGTCCCCTCTTGGCACCGGCCGCGCTACATGGGAGGAATTTATGGGAAGCCAGGGGATGGATGTTTGTAACAACAATGTTCTCTTGCAGATCTGCACGGAAGAGAGTGTCTTCGTGATCAACGCCTAGTTTCGCCTCCCGACGGCTTGGCTACACCATTTTTCGTATCAGTGACAGCTGCTGAACTAAGTCCCTGCTCGTGAGTATGGCCAGCACGATGTGCTTGAATATAAGGCAATGTTTAGTGCCCACTGCTAGACAAATTACCCTCTTGTCGTTCCTAAGACGAGGCTGCAACTCAAATCCCGCAGGCGTCCCCAAGGTAAGCGAATATTAAGTAATTTCAATTCTGCATTTCTGGACATGGCTGATGGCCGATTAGATCTCGAAAATCGCCCAAATCTCCGTCCGGAAAAAATTTCAGTTGATAAAGTCAATGCCACCGTTGGCACGCAACTGAGTTACAGTTGGGATGTCATTCATTATACTGCTCTGGAAATCCTGGCTTACGTGCGAACTCAGTCCGAGTACTGGTTTGATAACAATGACAAGGAAACCTTCAACTTACTCTCCATGATGAATGAGTCGCACGCGATCTACGTTAACCACAAAGATGAGGCCAAAAAGTGTCTTTTTTCTGATGTCGAATTCTGGTGTACCAACGACTTAGGAAGGTGCAAAATGCCCTGACGACTGACATGGCTGAAGAAATGTAGGGTAGATCGCAATGCAGTAAACGACCTTTTTGTGTCTATCAAGGCGGATTGTGACGTTGCTCAGTTACTACGAAAGAACCCACTTAAAGGAAAGATTGCAACTTCTACATTGCTGTGCTAAACACTTAAGGGGCGTCACCAATCGGTCATCTACAATATTCGACGAGGCCATCGACAAACTCAATCAGGTGAAAACAAACGCACACCTCAACCCTCCGCCCTTGCTGCATAGACTATCACTTTTTTCGCATAGGTCTACTGCAAAGCAGCGGACAACGACCCCCTTCCAATTGGAATCGACAGGCACGACCACCCACAGCTCACGGACAAATTAAACTCATTATTTCAGAAGAAGTGGAGACAAGGACAAATGCCTCAAGACTTTAAGGACGCCACCATCGCTCACTTATACAAACGTGAGGACAACCAGCAACTCCGTGATCATCACAAAGGCATTCCCTTCTCTAGAAATTTACGCACGAACTTTGCCTGCATCACAGTCAATCGCCTGAACTTTCATATGTAGGAAGGACGTCTCTCTGAAAGTTACTATTGATTTCAAAGTTACCCGGAAAAGTTAACGTGATACTTATGCTAGATGAGTGTAGAAAATGAGAACCAGACTCTGCTTCACCTTCGTAGATTTGACGAAAGCCTTCGATACAGTCCGCTGCAAAGAACTCTAGAAAATTATGCTGGAATACAGATGTACGGAGCGTTTTGTACAGACGGTGCGACAACCACCCGACGGGATGGCGTCGCGCGTCAGGCACAATGAACCAGTCGCTGCCACGTGTGGGGTAAAGCGCGGTTGAGTGCTGGCCCCCGTCCTATTCAGTTCCCGGCTATCCAGTATTCTAACTGACATCTGTCGCGTGAAACGGCCGAAGATTGACATTGGCTATGGAACTGAAGGAAATCAGCTTAACATCAGTCCCATGAAAGCACATGAGTATGAGTATTGAAGGCCGGCACTTACGACTTGTCGTTTGCCTATGACAGTGGGCTCAACATGACATGCAAAAACCATGGGCAGCTTTGCCTCTGGCTGCACAGACCTTTAGCAGATAAGGAACACATGTAGGTTGATAATTTTGTGTCAGTGAGCAACATCTGATGGGCGCAGCACACCATAATCAATGTGAATGGGACTGGCTCCGCATGTGTGAACAAACGCAACTGTCTGAAATGCATACAGGAAGGAACATCTGGATCGACGACGAAATCGTAGGTAGGATTTCCAGAGCCAGTTAGTCCTTCGGCCTACTTAATCACTCAGTTTGAAATCGCAGCCGCTTTAACAGAACTCGAAACTGAAAGTGTATCAGTCAATTTTCTTGGAATCGATTCTGTGTAGGGTGGAGATGTGGACAGTCAGCGAAAGTCAAACATTGAAAATCGACTACTTTAAGCTCTGCTGCCTCTATTGAATGCAGACATGATAGAGTCTCTGATATGGATGTTATGGAAAGAACCGCACCCCCAAACGGACCACGTGGTAGATGCGCTGGATCAACGCGGGGGCCATGTGGGATTCTGGCAGGCGTTACTGGATTTGCACATCATAAAAGTGTCAACATTTCGAGGTGCGGTGGCAGACCCAGTTGCCGGCAGACTTTGCACACACTGGGACCGCTGTCGCCTCCCCGTTGTTGCTGTTGATCAAAAACCTGGTCATTTGCTGTGTAGACCAGGGGGTGTGGTGGCACGCCTAGATGCGGCTCTGGCCGTGCCAGTCACCTGCGCTCTCCCCCGTCTCCGGCCTTCTTTGGCTCTGTCTTGACGACGGGTCCAGGTGGCTGAGGAGGAGAGAGTGTGGTAGATTCTGTGCAAGTCTACTATCAATATAAACTATCTCACGCAGAAGTGCCCGTCCCTGCTCCGTCTTGCTGTGGAGCACGCGGTGGATATCGTCGAAACCAACATTAGAACTCGGATGAAAAAGCCGGTTTCCTCATTGTCCACGCCATTCTGAGGTGGACACAACTGCCGACGACGAGCGCCTTGTAGGCGTCTATTATACAGCGACGTCACTACGAGTGCTCGCAGACAAGATTGGCAAACATCGCTAGAATGACACATTGTAGACCTTCTTTATATATCCGCAAATAAACCCTGAAACCCGGGAGTAACTCTTCCGGAATCGGCTGGGATGGTGCATTGCCTCGAGAACAGAAGCCAGTCTACAGGCATCTCATCGCATAGAAGAGGCCAGAGCGAAGAACTGGACATGGAAAACTTCAATATCACGGGACAGTGCTGTAGAAGCCCACAGTTCTAACGGACGTTTAGAATACGTTATCAGTCGTCTTCTGATCCACCGCTATGGCGAGCCTTCCAACTCACCAATCACCGCGCACACAGTCGGCATCACAGGCGACGTCGCGCAAGTAGACTAATCGAACTACTCTCCCAACTGCCCGATACCCCCCCCCCCGACGCCACCACTGGCAGTGTGGAATCAGTCCCAGTAAGTCACAACTGTGACAACACCTTCACATCACACAGCGGCCTTAGCGGTCGACTGTGAATCCAACGACCTTCGATCGATGCACTAGTGTCAGGCGCTCCAAAATACATCCGCCAGCCCTCCCTCACCTGTCCATGCTGCCAGGGGACACTCGGTCATCGCATAAGCCTATTTGACCACATATGCATCGATGAAAGTCTTCAGTAAAGCCCCACAGTCTAGACCCCATCAGTACACTTCGCCCTCTCTGCACAAGCAAGCACGACATCCCTCCCTTACATGTCATGAATCCCCTCTGTAGCAAGCCTATGATCCACTTTTAACTGGCAGTATGGCCAGAAAAACGTCATATATAGGAACATGCAGATCTTCAATACGTGGGAAGAGTCTCCTCCAGTACGCCTGATTCATGAGGAAGCCGGGCTGTGTGACAATCCCAGACGGGCCATACAGCTTTATCATTCATTGCGTCTGCGTCCACCTCCGGTCGTTCTGAAATTGCCTCCCCACTGAAGCAAGGTGGTAGGGAAAGAGAGAGAGTGTGTGGTAGACGTCCTGAAAAGTATAAATTAATTCCCGCGCAAGCCACCGGCACTGCACATGACAGTTCGACCGTTGTGATCGACGATGTCCACCCTGTGCTCCCCACCAGGGCGAGAGCAGGGACTGTACCTTGCACATGATTTCTTTCAAAGTGGCGGCAGACTTGCGCCGCATCTATCGGTGTGGCAACCTCTACCCAGAGGGGTTTCATGTTCTTGGCGGCCGATTCTGTGTCAGCTGACACAAAACCAAATTCATCAAGAAGATATTCAGATCCTGTAGACACTGCAGGAAAAGGGCGGTTTGACTGATTAGTTTTTTTCTTTCTTAGAAGAAAACATGCCGAATCCGAAGGATCCCTTACTTTCGTCCATCTGACTCACTTGGTAATCGACCAGCATCTCATCAAAATTTTGAGAATTGCGGATTCACGACCGGCGACTGTCAGCGATTCGAATAGTTAATAGTAATCAAACACTCTGAATGAACGGGTACACTAAGCTGCCGTCTAATCAATTTTATAAATCTACGGTATTAAGACATTCTCATCAGAGCTCAGAGAGACCAAATGGCCAATATTATGATGGAATCTAACCCCAAAGAAGATTCATTCACACCTAAACTTCTAAAAGAACTTGTCGGTAGGCCAGAAACCAAGTAATGGAAATCTACGAGTCTAGCGTAGACCTGGTTTTCATACTATCCATTAGCTGTGGATTAACAAGATATGACCGTCATTTTGTTTTCAGTACTAAGGTCACTTACTTCGGCATTTATATACCTGGACCGATCGGCGTCCTGAAAACCCAATCGGTTTGGTGGTTCAGTGTTCGCGTGAGCCTGAATCGCAATGGATGGCAGATAAGGGGGTAAAGATCTCAAAATATGAAGGCTGCCTGGGATCAAAAAGCCGATTTATCAGTCAACTGTAGGGGCCCAGTAGCATCCTTGTCTGGTTGTACTCGACCCTAGGTCCATTCTTCATTATCTTTATTGTGTCAGTGTTTGTTGATTTATCAGCATATTGACTGTCTTGCAGTTACAATGCCGTAAATTAGTTTGAGGGGTCCATGTCTGGGTGATTTTTGAAGTTTTTAAGATTATTAGGGAAGGGTAGTCTGGCTGGTGAACGGCGAGACAAAAATGCCTGATAGTACAATTCGGTCTCTCTCTCAATTGCCATGCGTGACCCAAACAAACCTAGATTCTTCTAGGAACCATAGCCTGGTAATCGCTCCGTCAGGCGAGCGACCATAAACGAGGTTGGTGTCCATGTTCTTCTGATGCTGTTTCATTTGCCTTTGAGACCTGCTTAGGTTAGTAAAGAATATCAGATATGAAGGGAGATTTGTATGGGGTTTTTTATGGCAGGCTAACCGCTGGAACTTTCCTGGTTGCTAGTCGTCTACAGCAATTCTTTCCAATGGATATGGGGGAGCCTGGGGCCGATTGCGCACAAGTCGGTTCCGACCGTCAATGCCAATTACTGACCCATGCGATTTTATGGTTTAAAGGAACTTAGTTTGAGGCCAAGCGGTCTGCTGGCTAGAAAAGTGGAGGCAAACAGAAGTGCCTTTATTAAGGTCGTTTTAAGAAAATAAAAAGAGGTCCCACAACCTCACTCACTTGCAGCGTATTGGGTAGCAGGTCCTGCATTCAGCAAAGGTGAAGACTCGTCGTTACTCATGGCTGACGTTGCTCTCTGGACTCCTCGTGCGCCAGCTCGATCACTCGCCGATGGAATGCCCCGCGAGGCAGTAGAGAGGCGACGGAATTGCGAGTTTCCACGCAGCCTGGCCGAGACAGCCGGTTCCTGAGCGCCAATCAAGTGTCTGCAAACCAGATCAAAACAAAACTCATGACCTCGGAGTTTGATGCCACAAAGTGAACTACAAGCATAGCACGTGTTTTCGAGCAGCATGTGGCCTGTTTTTAGCTCCGACAAATACAGAGGAATGCTGGGGCTTTTCCTAAGCGCGGGTCTTTGACTTCGGCCTACGACTCCACTTACATGCTGAAAAGGCGGGGGAGTCTAAGTAGTACTAAAGCAAACGCTGTTTCAAAAATAACATGCGAGTAGAAGTCTTCATGTCACGGCTGCACGGTGCTAGAGTGGCTTCGCAAACTCTACGCATCGACTGAGCTTTCTGTGCAACTAAGACTCATTACCGAAAACTCGCAATTGAATATTTTCGTTTTGTGCATTTTGACAGGTAAAATGCGAAACGATTTCATTTTTGCGAGAATGTCATTTTGATGACGAAAAAATTTGCCCCCGCGTTTGTCTGTCGACAACGCCATAAACGGAAATTTCCGACACCTCACGAACACAAAATTTGCCATAATCAAACGCAATTAATGCAAATTCAGCCAGCCCAAGAAGACTGCACAATTTCAATAGCAAGAATTTCTGAAATTACTGTCGATACCATTTGTTGTCCTGTTAGATGGCTGGCACTCAACTCTCACCTGTGGCTCCACGTAGCTGGGCTCTGCTCAGCGGCCACACCCCGGGCAACCGTCTCGACCGGCGGGCTAAACCAGGTGAGGGGGCCCTGTGCGCTGTACCGTGTGCACAGGGTTTGCGGATTCCGCTGGATGAAAGGTCGGATGGAACCTTGCGTCGGCACCGTCGTGACATGATTCGTCTCTGCACGCCGCTGGACAGCCGGTGACGGGATGGATCTCCACATCGACATCGCCTTGACGCGCCCACCTACGCCGTCGGAGACCGCGGCTTACGGCGAATTTGAGTCGCTCTCCACTACAAACCGAAGTCGTGGCCCCATTGTGGAGTTCGGCCGTGCCGCAACGGCACATGGCAGCCCTATTCAGGGATGGCACTGCCAGCCCCCACGAGGAGAAGGGCCTAGAAAAGGTGGCCTAAACATTGCTAGGCACCACGCCGTCTTCAGGCTAGCCAGGGCCGCAGACGTCTAATCATGGTCGAAACAATCAAAATCGGAATAACAACAATACCTATAACAACAACAACAACAATACTCGCTCACCTCCTCATCCTACCTCTTCTTTCTCTTCCTCTGCCTATTCTTCTGCCTACTCTTCTCCTTCGCCATCTTCTTCTCCATCTCTTTCCCGTCGCCCCACTCGTTGTCACCAGACTGGCAGGGTGAGTCCGCTCACTCTGGCAGCCTGGAATGTTCATTCCCTTTTAGACAATCCGAGGAGCAACCGACCGGAACGAAGAACAGCGTTAGTGGCACGAGAACTGGCCGCAACAAGGTGGACATCGACGCACTCAGCGAGACCCGTCTCTCCAAACAAGGCCAACTGGAGGAGGTGGGTGCCGGTTACACCTTCTTCTGGAGTTGTCGGCCCAAGGCAGAGCGACGAGACGCGGGTGTCGCCTTCGCCATCCGGAACGACATCGTGGGACGACTGCCCAGCCTGCCGCAGGGCATCAACGATCGCCTGATGAGCCTCCGCCTGCCTCTCTGGGGAGGAAAATTCGCCACCATCATCAGCGCCTACGCTCCGACGATGACCAACCCGATGCCGTCAGATGGTCAGTTGACCATGACAGCCACCGCGCCCATTCCCCACTCCAGTCTGCTGACCGGCTCGGACAGCGGCTGGGGTGTGGGAGTGGGAAGAGAGAGTGAGGTCAACGACACAGCGCACTTTCCTCACTATAAACAATCTGACGCGCTTGAAGCTATCACGGTGCGCTAAAAGCCGTGGCTTGGAAGGTTGCCAACTGACGGGGTAACTTGTACCTCCTCCTTGACTGGAGGCGGTCTGAGAGTCAGGCTGCAATGGCTTATTTTTAATGTGGCCTTTATGGCACTCCTACCACAGTGTGGGATCCGAGCCAGGCGTTGGCGGCACGCCCAGGTGCGGCTTCATCCGTGCCAGCCTCCTAATCTCTGTTGTGTTGGTTGAAATCCTGGTCATTTGTTGTGTGGACCAGGGGGTGTGGTGGAACGCCAAGGTGAGGACCCGTCCGAGCCATCCACCTGCGGCCTCCCTCGTCTCCGGTCTTCTTGACTCTGTCTTGACACCGGGCTCAGGCGAGGGAGGAGGAGAGAGTGTAGGTTAGATGCTACGCAAGTCTACCGGCACTATAAACCCCTGCGTAAGTCACCGTCCCTGCTCCCATTGCTGCTGCAACTGTGGAGCACACGGTGGACATCATCGAAACCGATGGCCGAACAGATGGAAGACGTAACTGGTTTACCTCTGTTATTTGGTTGTTTTATTTTTTATAGTTGAGGACTGAAGATTATGCTATTTTGGCCGTCTTTGAAAGTGATGTTGGTGAGAAACTGCACAAAACCACAAAATAACCTGAACACAGTCATAAGGAATAGGTAGTATGACTGAAACTTTAAGTGCCGACCGTGCCTCTAGGTTCTGGCTCAAGATCGAAGAGATCAAAGGTAAAGCTGAGGAGACAGTTTTTAAAAGGTTAACATCTACTGCATGCTTCATGTTTCAAAAGACAGGAGTTTTAAGCTCGGACGGCTTATTGAAATTAAACTCAATTGTTGCAGGCATTCGCAAGGTATCGAAAATTTCTAAGGGCAAAGTATGTTCCTCTGAGTTGCCAATATCGCCTGCATGGTGCTGGCTCAGTGTTCTTCCTGTTGTTTTTATTCGAAATACTTATGCACCGGATGGAATTGCAAACGAAAAACGAGGCCGACGCTGAGCGAACGGACGTACGCGGCGTGTTTGGTTGCCAAAACACTAGTCCGCCTGTAGCAAGTTGAATAGACGATCGCGCGTGTTCCCCTATCAAATATCCACCAGGCACTTCGCAAATTTACAGACTGAACAGGCATTCGGAGCTGCCGTTTGGGTTTGTTTTCAATCTTGCCCTGAGGTTTGGCCGTAAACGCTTATTCAAAATTACCGTCGGTTGGTCTGCAATAACTCTTTTTATTCCAGTAGTAACAGACTGCATGAAATCTATTAGGTGTGCCGAATAAGAAAGTAGACTGATTAAGGGGTAAAAGTAGGCGACAGCCGAAGATAAATTTCAGCCTACATAAACAAGTTATGGACAAAATACTAGAATGCATAGGGCCTTGAACTGAATGGCTGATGGGGCATGAATAACGGTGTGTTCAGCATCACGATTTTCGGAAGACATTTTAAATGGATACTGCTGAAAAATGCTATCTTCTGTGATTCGTTAGTTAGAACGTAAACTGAATTTGCGAATTGATCAATGCGATGGCTGGAAGAGGCGTTTTATTCGCCTGAAGTTTCGGATTCAAAATCGAATCCGTGAACACAGGCAGCACCAGATAATAGTAGCGTTTGTGCTGTGGGTCCACATTCGAATAATTAGATGAATAACTTCTCCTTCAATAAACCAAAGTATTCGCGAGGTGATTTGAATTTAGTCTGTTCAACGCCTTCTCAAAATGGCAGAGTCCATTTTAAAAAATTTAATACCAATAGCGCGTTTGTCAGAGTAATTTTCGCGTGGACTTTACTAAAACATTGCAAGCATGCCACTGAATAAATGAGTCAACCAAGTATGTACTGAGTAGGAGACATGAGCCTGCGAAACTGGCAGGTGGAGCTTCGCAAATCTTAAATCGGACGGACTGACGAGCCGTCTTTGTGAGAGGTCGGCAAACCATACAATCATGGGATATGTTTGTCGACAGCTAGTAGATGATGTAAGTCATCATAGTTTCTGAGACCATATGAATTAAACCCTCCTATACAGTCGGTCAACTTTCCTGAGCAGCCTTTATACGGCATCTATGCTGGTCTGGCAGTATATAATGTATGATCACCAAGTAGTTCGAACTATTTAGTATAGCCACGACTTTCTTTCCATCTGGTCTAGTCGACAAGATATCTTTGCTGTCTCGAAGATGCTTTTATTTTGCAATGTGTGCCTTCATGAGCATGTCTCCACTTTTGCGTCTTGTTCAATTACTGAAAGTTTCAATTCACCAACGTTTATTCGAAGTGCTTGCTGCTATTTGCGAAAGCCAGCTTTAGATCGTGGATTGGGCACGGTGAAATTACTGTTCGAGTTTATGGTTCTAATTTATTAACTTTCTTGGCGTTGGGATGCAGAATTGAAGAACAATAAGTAATGCTTTATTCGCTTTTCTGTTAAGTCCTGTAGGAGAATGGTTGGGTATATTCCGATCTGGATCGTTTGAATGTCTTTGTTATGGATCCATTTAATATGCATTACGACGAATCGAAGTTAACTTTGCCTCCTCACATTTTCTGCCTATGCACTTTTGACTGACGGGCATCATTAGGATGTCTGGTGCCCTTGTTTAAAGTTCCACTGCGCCAAGGTCATGCACCTTCGCAGCAGGCAGTTCCAGGCTGGCTGGCCGCACAGTCTGCCAGACCGCAGCGTGCAAACACGCTCAGATTCCGACGGCCAGAACCGACCGTGTCTCCAACTTTGCGCCCACACACACTACTTAGACACAGACACTTAAAACTGTCACCACAAGCCTGCAGACACAGCACACACCACCGTCTGTCCGACTCTAGTCTAGGACAGGACCTGGCACCGCCAGCACAGGCTCTGGCCTTGTAAGTGACCACCGTCACTTGGGACGACAAAGAGGAGTTCTGTGCACAAAAACACCTTGTTCGATAATCGGGACTTGGCTTGGTTATGGTTGCGCCCTGAATACTCTTAGCGTATAGGCGCTGCATACCAAACATGGCTATCAAATTCTTGTATCTCATCTGCTTTTAGGCGGTCGAGAACTGTTGTCCTTTAACGCACCTCACGCCCCAGTCCGTCCGTCCTTACGCATTCAACTTTATTGTGTATGGGTATTTTCTAGAGTATTACCACGGGTGCACTGAGTAGAAGCTGGGTTTTAGTAAAAAATATATTGATCGAAAAACATGAAAAAGTGGCAAAGAAAAATAAAATCATGGGATCCTGTTTCGTGCTGATAATTGTGCAAAACCCGGTGCTGCGGAGGAGGTGGTCGATGTGCCTCTATCACCTATCAACCCCGTCTCTGATATGAATCGTTCCTACTTCGATTTACGTCGGTCAGAATGGTTTGCCTGCTGAAAATCGAAGACATAGGCGAGATTTCACCCGTGAGTCACGAGTTGACTTTGGATCTCACCTGTTGATCGTGCGGACCAGTCTGTACATTGCTCCCGGTTTCCAGAACATAGTTGAAATCGAAGCATTGTTTTCCCGGAGGAAATTTGAACTAGGAAAAGGCGATGAAACATGCAGAATATATTGATGTCATAAAATTGTGTGACCTCTCACCCAGCTGCACGCGTCCATTGCGTATTTATAAGATAAGGTAAGCTGTTTAATCAGAGATTGGTCTAGAGGAATGAAAAATGATACGTAAATAAAACATAAATTGTTGGTCTGATATACGGGTGCGAATGGCGAGGGGGAAGGCGGAGGGAAGTTATTTAAGCAAGCGAGTTTACATTACGATGAAAACCCGTCAGGGGTGAGTCACATTCAACACACGGGACAGCAGTCAGTCATGGGGGAGAGGGGAATATGCGAACGGGTGTGGGAATGCGGTTATGTCATTGTCGATCGTTTCTATGGCAGTGCAAGGTTGATCACGTGATCCAGCTGTTTACAGAGTTCCAGTTTCCCCCTCCGTATTGCAGCGGCCTCTGCAAAGCGCAAGAGACGCCCGGTCGTCGCCCGAAATAGGACCTTGAATGCAACCATTGGGTCCGCCGTGAGGCCCGTGTCTATTACGTGCTTTGTAATTGAGTTCTTGGGTACCTTATTTTTCTTTTTTAACAGCCACTTCGGCACGTGCTCATCTGACCGAACTGTCACCTGCCTTTGCGTGCGCCCAATGCACTTGCATCCGCAACTACATGTCAACTCATAAATACAGTTTGATGTAGCGTGCATCAGCAAAATGAAATCACCATAATAAAAACCGATTTTCGTAGCCAGATGTCGGGGTTTCAGCAACTGATAGTGGATTCCTTAGTTGCATCAGGCAATGTTTAACTACGACTTGTAGATGATGGGATTTACCAACATCCAGGAAGCCTGTTTTATTTGGTCGATAGCTTTCCAGCCTTACTGTTGCTGTTATTTTGGATTCAGTCCGTATTTAGCGCAGTTTTGCCCAACAAAGCTTTTTACAAACTCTATCGCCTGCAAGGGGCATAAGGGTAGAATCTTATGACTTTTTGCATGGCTGATGTGCTAGAAATTTGTTTCAGTTCAATGACAGAGTTTCAGGACACTACTGCATTTAGGAAACAGGAAATGGATGCTTTGAGTATCAGCACTTTTGAAGTGCTGGTACTCTTTCCGAAAACGATTGTTTGCGGTGGCCTATTTGTGTTCCAGTGTATATAGACGTCAAGGAGAGGAAAGCGGTTCCGGTTTGAATTTTATTTTTCCGTTAACCTCACTCAGCTTTCCGAAGTTGCTCAATGTAATTCGTTTGAAAGACGATAAGCATTTCATCAAGAAAAGGAACCCTGGGTTTGTTTAATACATGGCAAAAGGGTATTCCATTGGCGAAATGGAAGTTTTCATACTCAAACTGGAGGGTGGAAATACCACTAAGACGTTTCTAGTTTTACCATATACCCGCTCGTCAAATGTCTTCGAAAAAGCTCGCTTATCGCCGGCAGTCCAAGCGGTACGAGTTGGCGCTCAAGTCCATAAACGGTTTCAGTGCTCCACATGTTATTCCTTTATGTAGCATAAATCC